AATAAATAAATAAGCCAGTCACAAAAAGACCAATACTGTATGATTCTTTCCACTTATATGAGTTATCTAGAGTAGTCAAATTCATAGAAAGACAAAGTGGAATGATAGTTTCCAGGGGCTGGGCAGAGGGAAAAACATGGAGTTATTATTTAATGGGTATAGCATTTGGGTTTTGGGAGATTAAAAAGTTCTGAAGACTGCCAACAGTACTTAACACTACTTAAATGTACACTCAGAAATGCCTAATATGGTAAATGTTTTCTTATATGTGTATATTTTTTACCACAATTAAAAAAAAGGTTGCCTTGAAAATTGCCCACCTAATCTGGATCCTCACTTCAGGAATACAAACTGGGGGTGTGAGAAAAGAATTATCATCATATCTGTGATACAAGAGAAGAAGCCTAATAATGTTCCACATTTTGCTGTTATATCCCCACTTACACAGCAGTAATTCTATGAGAAATGCATGTGTTCATACATTTCAGAAACTATCATCATGAATATTCTAATCCTGGGTGTTCTTTTCTTCTATAAATACTATGCTAAGCCCTCAACCAATTTCAAGGTCTAGAGAAATGGTTCTCAGTATAATGCATTTCAAAATCTCTGTGGAGCTTTTGAAAAAGATTTCCACTTCTGGTATTATGGACATGAGGACCTCCATCTCAAATTTCAGAACAAAATGTTTTACCAGAGATAAAGATTGGTACTTTATAATGATAAAAAAGTTGATTTGTCAGAGAAACACAACAATCATAAATGTGTATATGATAAATACAGAGTTTTAAAATACATAACACAAAAATACAGACAACCAGGCGATACCACATACTTGCTGAATCTTAATTTCCAGCGTGGTGCTAAGGCACTGTTATTTAAAAACAAAATAAAACAAAAAAATTACATGGGGATTCAAATGTGCAAGACTGGTCAAGAACTACCATTTTTGACATTTATAATTAAAAAATAAAATCAAAACTTAAGTAAATACTACTACTACTGCTACTATTTCTACTGTGAATTGGATTAACAAAATCCTTTCTTCTTCTGCAAGAGAATTTGATTCAATTAACTTTCTAGTTCTTTTCTTCTAGAAACCAGAGAACACAAGTATGTCAATTATGTTGCCAGGCAAAATCTCTCTCTCTTTTTAAAATATTTTGAGCAGAAGCAT